AAAAGTCATGGAGAAAATCTATCTATATGGTCTCTAGGAGTCAAAAACAACTTGATGACACATAATCAATATCTAAAAAGCCAAATTCCTCATCCTTCCCCTGACATATGGGATTTCACATAATACACAATTTGCACCCCCAGTTGATCAACCCCCTCACAGCTCAGTTACTTCCCCTACATCCTCCTAGTTTCTATTTCCTACCAGCAACAAACTCCTGGAGTTCTACCTTTCTGTGTCATCCTCTCTTCCCTTTATGAGACGTGTGTGTGTGTGTGTGTGTGTGTGTGAGTGAGAGAGAGAGAGCGAGAGCGAGAGCAAAACAGAGAGACAGGATGAATATGAGACAATGGGGGTGGGAGGTTTTTGATCCCACACTTCTTACTTTATCCTAAATCTGGGAATCAACTGGGATGTGATGAGATGGAGATCTCTGTAAGTGTTTATGTAAGTGCATATTAAAATTTAACAGTTCAGCGGTGACATTAATTAAAAGTTTTAGTAATAATATTTAATTAAATTTCATTTTCATTCCCACATTTTTTAAAAAAATGTTTTGCAAACTCATTCTTCCTTTTCCACACAACAAAGCATTCAAAGACTGGGGTGATCCTCAGCCCAAGGAAAGCTGTTCACCCCAGATCTAGAATAGCTACCATTTCCTGAATCAGCATTTACAACCTTAGGAGGACATGACATTTTTTTTTTCTCTGTAAGAATCTAAAAATAGCTTTATGTAGAAATGTGAGTGCTCTTTCCATCTCTCTTTCTCTTAAAGTTGTTTCACTTCATGCACATTATCCTTTTTTGTCGTTGTTGTTTGTTTATAATACCATACAAACCCTGTTCTACATGCCGATAAAATTGCTACGTGCCCTCCATTTCACAATCTATATATATGAGGTAGCCTTTCTATCTGTGGTTTGGTGCATTCTTGCAAAACAATCGTTTGGGTTGATGGTAAGAGATAATATACATTTCTATCTTCCCATAAGCATTCAGGATGAGCAAAATATACACAATAACACAGAAGAAGCAAAGCAGGTCAGGCAGGTTTACAGCTAGCCAGAGGCAAGCCTAATTATATCTCATCTGCACAGATGTAAAGGCCCACACAAGTTACCAAGCTAAATAGTATAATACTTCAGCTTATTCTATACTTACCTTTTTTTTCTGGAATAATAATCTCCTTGGCAATATAGTTAGTGACTGCTACATATACTTTTGGCACTCCTTTGTTCTGAATTTCTGAGTTTTGTTTTTCATTCTTGTTTAAAAGTAATGTATTAACTATTATTCCACAGATTCTTACTCAGATGAAAACGATTGGTTGAATATACAGTATACAGGTAGTCCTCAACTTACGACCATTCATTTAACGATCGTTCAAAGTTACGACAGCACTGAAAAAATTGACTTATGACCAGTCCTCGGATTTATGACCATTACAGCAACTGGCATGTATTTACAATGGTTGCAGCATCCTGGGGTCACATGATTGCCATTTGCGACCTTCCCAGGGGGTTTCCAACAAGCAAAGTCAATGGGGAAAGCTGGATTTGCTTAACAACAGCATGATTTGCTTAATGACCACAGTGATTCGCTTAACAACCATGGCAAAAAAGGTCATAAAATTGGGTGCAACTCACTTAACATCCACATCGCTTAGCGATGGAAGTTCCGGTCCCAATTGTGGTTGTAAGTTGAGGACTACCTGTATGACAATTTAGCAAGTGTACATAAAGCCACATGGAGTACATTTGTGTCATTCAATTTCTTTAATACTCCTAGTCTACTCCAATTTTGGTTTCTGTCAGAAATAACTTCATCCATATAATTTCAGAGTTCCACTTTTGACTCTTTTGTCCCTTAAACATTCTTCCAGAAGTCTGGAGGGTCATCTAGGTGCTTTTGGCAAACCTGAAATGAGCTTCAATCTTCTTCTTAGTGTGCAATGGCTTCTGCTTTGCTCTTCTACCATGAATCTCGCTGTGCTTTTCTCATGGTAGAGTCATGAACACTGGCTTCAGCCAAGGTAAGAAAGCCCTGCAGATACCTGATTAGTGTCCTGGGTTTCATCCGTTTGACATGGGAGTGATTTTGACTGGATAGCTCCTCTTGGGAAGATGAGTTACTATCCCAAATCTTCTCAATTTCAGGCTATGCCTGATTGGGGAATTGGTGGAACCCAAGAGCATTATAAATGGTTTTCTAACCTTTTGTATAGGGCTGGTCCCAATCAACCTTGAATGTTTAATCAAGTACTTACATAACTGGCCCAAGTTATCCTATTAATTAATTAATTAACTAAATTTAAATAATTAAAATTAATGAGTGAAATTTATTTTTGAATTAGGTTTACCAATGTAAATTTAATTAATTAATTAATTAAAATTTAATTTAATTGGACTAAAGGAATTGCTACTTTCACATTGACACATAGCATGTTGGATGACTTCATTTTTCTCACCAACCTTTAATATTCTTTGTTCCCTTTATATATCAGTAGGACTCATAAGAACCTCTGATAAGGTATAGAAAACTTCAGAAAATCCAAACACATGGTGAATACTTTTCCATCCAATGTAATGAAAGAGCATTTACAGTACAGGAAACATGAGAATATTATTACGATTGTTTGATAAATGATCAAAATAATGATTCAGTTAAGCATCTCTGATTAATTCATATGTTGAGGGCCTGTCCTTATACTTAGTATAATGAATTGTGAAGTTCTTGGCTTATGCAGCTTCAAGGAAGGTGAGGTTGCAAATACGAATGCTCCTTTTTTAAACAGGAGGAGGGGAAGAAGAATTAGTTGTTGCTGCTGTTGTTTCTGAAGATAGAAATGACATATCAAGAAAGCAGGCTCAGTTAGACACAACTCTTTGACGTCTCCCAGAGCCAGTTGTACCATTAGGCAGAGTGAGGTTATCACCTCAGAGAAATGATTTTAGGTGTCACAAAAGGTCAGTACATTGCTTTTGTTAGTTAATTTATCTGTTTTATTCCCAGAGAAAAACCCTTCTAGGACATTCTGCCTCTGAAGCTAAAATAACCTGGTCAGCTTTGGATAATGGGGGAAAGGGAACTATTTCCAGCGTCCAGAAGTTTTCTTTCCTTGTGAAAGAGATTTCTTTTTCTGCCTCCTTTCCTGTGAGGACTTCTTTCATATTTTGTATGATGGGTGCTGATGGAAGGAGAGGGCAGCAAGTGCTCTTGCAGATGTTCCTGTTTTCTGTTCTCCATCTTTCAGTTGCTCTAACACCTCCCTGTCTGCTCACACTTTTCAATCAGAAAAAGCCCACTGTAAGAAATTGACGTTGGTCATATTTCTTTCCTTTTGGATTTAATGGAAGTCTGAGAAACCAAGTGGCTGCAGACCATTAGAAAGATAATTGTGCAGTGAAGGACAGGGCAGCGACACTAAACTCTTGGCCTTCTGGTAATAGACTAAGTGCAAGAACACTATTTCCCAGCCATGAAAATTTCATCAACATTCTCTTCTCTGAAAAAAAGTGCAAAGGAGCCTCCTTTCTGCCAATGGAATGAGAATGGCTAGAAAAATGCAGGAGAATGTGTCTGCTTAGTAATACTTAAATAGATGGAGGAACATTATGACAAGAAATCCTTCTCTTGGACTTTCAGGAAATATTTTCAGGAAAAAGATTCACACTCGATTATCATGATTAAGGAAAGTGGTTTGAAGAGGCAAAGAAAGAAAGATTAAGGTAGACCAGCATGATGAATCGAAAGAGATGGTATGGTAAAATTCAGGTGAAGACTTTCTGTTCCTTTCAATGTCCTAAAGCTTATGCTGAGGGATCCTGAAATACAGCTCTGCCTCTTGCAATTGGAAAGGATCCTCACCCTCCATATTTTCTGCATCAATCAATTACACTGCCTAAAGATAGAGTCTTTTCATCCTGACTCTTCCACTTAAGTCTGGAAGGCCCCAGCTATTTCTGGCTGGGTTCTAAACTAGTGAACCACATCATTTGCCAAGGACATCGAGAACCAGTGCCAAAAGTTTCCAGCTCAATGGTACTGAGTACTCTGTCAGCCATAGGCAGGGCCATCCAAGCTGGATCTACTACCACTCCTATTACTTGAGATTAATTTTATTTCGCCTCAGTGATGAATAGATTCTGTACAGTACACAGACATAACACTGTTCTTGCACAGCTCACTTACAGACTGCATGATCAGGCTCTGCTACTGTAGTTTTTTTTCTTTTTCTTTTCCTTTTCTGTTTACTTCTGATGGGTGTGCACTCACTTCTATTCTTCTGGGTCAGTTTGGCAGGCCAGAAATACTTCCAAAACTTTTAAAATCAGTGGTGCTATTAATGAGCCCCTAAACCCCATTCAGCTGAGTGAACAGGAGGATCTGTAGACCAGTAAGACTATCCTATCAAATTATCACTATCTGAATGCAGAGTAGAAGAGTGCTGAACTAAGTTTAAAATTACCCACCATATTACTGCTTAAAACATGGGGGAATCAACTTGCAGAGATAAAAACGTAAAGACCAGAACACTCAGAGGAGACAAGATTGCTGTACAAGTGAACTTGGACAATTTATTCAAAAGGAGTGCCTGAGCAAATCTACATTGCCACAGACAAATTGTTTTTGGTTGCATCACCTTAAAGCTTGGCTGGGAACAGATGTTTCTGAGAGATCTGATAGTGGTAATAGAAGCTGAATTGTTTGGTAGAATGGAGTTTTCATGTATTTTGTTCCAGGACGGCTGCTGTTCAAGTGGAGTTTGCATGTTTTGAAACAGCACAAACCCTTATAAAATCTGAAAACAGCAGAGCAACTGTATGTGCCAAGGGCAATGATGTGCCTTTTGTATCTCTCTGCAGTTTTAAAAAAAATTAATTTGCAGCCTAGCAAATTTATTGTGACATGAAGAACACAGGGAGAACAAGTCTGATTATTTAACCATCTAAATGGTGCCAACGTCAGGTCCTGGATGGAAGATAAATGAAAGAGAATTCTCAGAGATGTGCACGTTGTTTGATGTTATTTTGGTTGACTCTAAGAAAAATGTTGCAAAACTATGGATTTTGTTTCTTGTGTACTGACATAACTATCTTTGTGTTTAGTTGTTAAGCAGGCAATAGCTTTCTGGAGTCAGTCTGTCAGGCCTCCTATCAACTGCATCCTGAGATCTTGGGCTGATTGAAGACATTTTGCTGCTGGGGACAATGAGCAGGATAGGTATCTCCGCCCATTCCATGGGTATAGTAAATGGTGACCCGGCTAACAAATCAATCTTATTTCAACAGTGATGACAAGGCAGCATTCTTCACTGCACCCAAGGGCAGCTGCTTAGTTTACGGAGGTTAAAGGCAGGCGAACGTTACACGAAACTCTGTCCTGCAACAGCTGGCTGGCTGCTTCTGCCCATTAGCATTTGAGGGCTTACATCCTTTCCCTGCAGATACCAGGAACGGACATCAGGCTTTTGCACATAAAGCTTGTGTTCTACCTGTGAGCTACAGTTCAGTTGTTTCATAGATAACAGCCTGCTGCATCAGGTCTATGACACGCTGAGAGGGAGAAAAACTTCATCTAAGTGACTACACGTCCAACATTTTCATTGACTGTTTCCTATATCCACTGCTTATTTTGGGATTACAAGAATCTTTCCCCCTTTTTCAGAAATAGGAAGAAAGGCAAACTGGTTCCCTATTACATAGAGTCCTTGCAGGGTGCTTTTTCCCCTAACTTACATTGTAATTCCTTAACACAAAAGAGTTTGACACATAGACATAGGGACAGTATTTCTGGGATACAGAACTGAGCCCTTTGGCAAACTATATCAACTAATAATCAAAAAATCTGTTTGGAGCAAAGGTTATAGCATTTTAGAGTAGGGCAGTGGTTAATAGTCATTCCTAAAAATAAAATGGTTTTTAAAAATCAGCTGTGTTTCAGACAGAGGAACTGCTTTCTTATACTGCTTTCTTGAACTGCTCAATATCTTCTTCTTTTGCATTTTAGATTTCTTTTCTCATCACACAAATGGAAAGGTAACCAAATAATATCGTGGACATTTGGGAACTTTTGAACCAAGTCAAGACCTTCAATCAAATTTGACCTCAAAATGTGAAAAGGCAAAAATAGGCCTATTTTACCCAAATAACTTTTGAGATGACAGAACTGATCTGAAGTGGCATTACCTTTGATTACCGGTGAGAGTTGCATGACTGAATGCAGGTTTCATGTTTTAAAAAATCTAGTCTATTCAAATGAAATGTAAGAGTGAAAAGTTTTCACCTGCCTTTTTCCCCTAGATGAGTGACATGCTTTCTGTTCAAGGACTTTTTCTGACCTAAAAGAAAGCATTCATTTATGTTGTCTCTGAGCAACTGTCAGAAGTAGTACTTACTATTCAACAATATTTTACCACTTCAGCTGTCATGTGCGTGCAGTAGGTCAGTGACTGATAATCACTTATTTTCTTATTGACATTTATGTATCTTGTTTTTGTTTTTGTTTTTTTTGCACAACAGAATCCATATAAGGTAAGATCTGGACAGTAGATGAACTTCGGAATCAACCGCTCTTTCCTTTGTAATCTTTGGATTGTTGAAAATTTTGAATCAGAAGATGTTGGCCACCAAAAATCTTTGCCATTGCTATTTCTACTATTTTTCTTCTTTTGCAATTCTTCTATTTCTCATACTTTCACTGTAATCTTTTTTTATTTTGTCTTTTAATTTGTATATTATGAAAAATAAAAATAATTGAACAATAGAAATCTTTGCCATTGCTTATTTTCATTACCTTCTTTTACAGTCTTGCCTAACTGGTGCCTTCCCAATACCCCAGTACCTCCAGTAGGGTTGGGATGAGTCTGGGATTGGGAAGCCTGGATTAGAGCAAAGATATTTAAAGTTTAACATCTTCAAGAAACTTTTCTACACTGGCTTTAGTGACTGACACCTATATACTATCTTTACAGGGCAGCTTTCTGACTTGTACAAGGTCTTAAACACCAGCTAAGTCTGTTTGCCTCACTGCTGTTCTCCTGGGAATGAGAATATATCCTAGTACATACTGAACACTTCCCTATGTGGGCTAGCTGTCTTTATGGAAGCCCAAATACTATTAATTATCCCATTCAATAACACTGGGAAATTTCCAAGAAAACACCTGATCCAGAATAATGTGCTGTATAGATACTGTAGCTTGGGTTGACCTGTTTTATTTGCTCCTACTCTTCATTTCTAGCACTCTGTGATTTAGTGTAGTTATGGAGATCTCTAAGGGCGACCTGGAATGGTAAGGCCAACCCTAGACCAAATGGTGCTCCAGGCAATTTGTGACAGGAGGGCACCTAGTTGGGGAAGGCTTGGCTATAGATATGAAATAATCACAGAATAATATTTGTATTAAATCCTTAGAGACTTCGAAATGCTCCAGTACCTCAGTCATAGACTGGCATCCCCAGCCATTTAATCCTCACCTACCCTAGCGTCCACAAGCAAAGACTGTTGGGCTCATCTTTTGGTTTGTCTTGGTGAAAATGAATAGAACTTTGCTGGCACTAGCCCCACTTATTTGTGTTCATTTGAAAAGGAGAAAGGTGACAGAAAACAAAAGTGGCTAGTTGGAAGATGGTCAGAACTCTTGAACACTCTTCCCTTTGACCAACTACCCTCCTGTGCAATTTCCCTCTTTACAGTTATGAAGGGTGCAAGAACTGTGTTCAAGATTGGCATCAGCATCTAGCATCCTTGAGTAGCTGGCAGGGCTCATCATTTATGGCTGGATTCTTGCCGCCATCTTAATTTCTCACAATACCCTGGAGTGATGCTTTGTTGTAAGACACTGTGGGAAGTTTAACTGATGACTAGATCCCCTCATTTTGCATTGCTTAGCACATAGAAGCTGCCAGCCACCAAAGAAGCTCACCAGAACTTCTTGACCAAGGAGGAGTTCACCAAAGTCCCAAGGAACTCTCTTTGTAAAGAAGGGCCAGGTCTGTTAGTTTTATAGCTGACAGGAAAAGCAGAGGAATGAATCAATGAAAGGATTCTTCCTTGAACACACATTTAGTTCCTCCTAAAAGTTGTGGAGCACAGTAAGCAACCATCAGAAGTTGTATTCCCTTTGGAAACTTGTGAGAAAGGGAACAAACTGTAAGGTGAAGATTGGAGGGAAATACTGGCATGGCCAGGGCAGTAAATGGACTGACTTGATGAATCTCAGAAACAGTTCCTTGCAACACATCTCTGGAATTAAAAAACTGCTCAACTCCTGCTTGGCCAGCCTTATGCTGGAGCTAACCTGCCCCGAGCACTATCACCAGGCTGGTTCAGAGAAGCATAATTTTGATCGCTCCACAGTTGTGGGAGAGGCTTTCAGTTTTATGGAGTACATACCTCCCTTTCCTCACTTGCTGTCTCCATGGCATTTTAAGGCACCCTGCCATTTTTATGACCTGAAAGTTCTCCCCCACCTCCACTTGCTTTGTACGGGTTTTTCCAGGCTTACAAAAGGAGATCTTTTAACCCATTGTTTTCCTTTTCTGCATAGTAGCAGCAGCTTGATGACAAGCAGGCTAGAGTGTACTAAAGGCTATGGAAATGTGTTCTGCCTTCTGCCCCCATGCAGTCGTCTGCTCCCTCACAGCACTGCTGGCAATTTCCAAAGCTGTCAATTCTCAGCACGTTAATAACCTTTCATAATGTTTAATTACTTGGAAAGATAATCAGTCCTAGGATTATTAGTTAAAAGGCATGCCCACTTTGTTTGCTGTTGGCAAAGACCGCACTCCTCTTTTCATAAGTATGATGTGACTGAGGGTGCTTCACACCAAGCAAGATCTATTTGTGCAACCTGGGAAATTTTTACCTCCCCACCCCTTCACCTCCCCCTGTACTGCAATTCCATCTCAGATCTGCAAAGCAGCTTCCCACAAAATTGCCACCTGATTTCTTTAGGTCCTATGCTGGGTTACAGAGAAGTAATCAATTTCTTTCAAAATTATCTTGGTGTTTTGCCATCTGATATGAAGCACTTTCCACTAATCTTCCAGAGGTGCAAGGCATTCACAGATGGCACTCGCTGCAGTAGACTCCTAAAGAGGAGGATTCTCTCATAGTAATTTAAATGAGCAAATTATTTTATAGTCCTTAACTAATCCAGACCACAACAATTTACAGTTCAGATTTTAAAATGTTGCTGTATGAAGAAATCTTGTTGTTCAACTTTCTCTCCCCAGCCTTCTCTGTCATTGAACAGTCCTATTCCTTTATAGGATTGTGAGGGGTTTTGAGGGGAAGGGTAGGGGAGGTTAGCTTTTCTCCAAAATATTTCTTCCATTTTGGATTCTTTCGAGGATTACACTTCCTTCCTGTTGCTTTTTATTTGTATTAACTGCATAGCTATCACAACAAAGCATATTATATTGAAATTAGTATATATGAAATTACTTTAGCTTTTTGTTCCCACACCTTTGGGCAGGAGTTAGGCAGGACAACTGTGAACACTATTATGACAGCATTCCCCAATATTGTGTTCTCCCAATCTCTTGCACTTCAATTCCCATCACCATGGAATTGTAAACCAACACATTTGGAAGGCAACACCTTGAAATCCCCTGATATTGCTGAAGATTAGTTGGCAGAGTTACGAAAGCATTTTTACTTTTTTATGGAGAATATTTTTGTTATCTAGACTCTTCTGGAAGAAGACAGCCTTTTAGGAATCTGGGCTTACCTTCTAGTCTGCCAACTGTGTAATATACTTATTCAATTTGTATGAACAAGAAAAATAGAGGAGTCAGAATTAATGCACTTCCACACTACCACCATTTCAGTTCCCAAATCCTTCAAAAGTAGCTTGAAGCCAACAATAATTGTCTTCACTTCTACTGACCTTAAAACACTCCCACTGGCTAAAAGGCTGTGCCCATGTGGTTCTGGGGAAGTGGAAACCACTGGGCATGTCCTATTACAATGTCCATTTTATAGAGAAATACGAACAAAATTTATTTCTCCAACGATCAGGAGATATCCTGGCAGATC